TGGTCATTTTTCCTCTAATGATAAGAATTTTATTTGTGAAGAAGTTCATGAAGTCATTACTAGTTAACGTTGAAGGAATTGTTGGCTCAACAGTGCTCTGAGTTTTTGTCAGCCTGGCTACAGTGCTGAAGAGAAACCTGGGGTTGTTCTTATTTTCTTCAATCAGTGATGAATAGTAAGATGTTCTGGCTTTGTGGAGGGCTTTCTTATAAAGCAACAAACTATTTCTCCAGGCTAAATGATGATCCTCTAAATTTGTGACACACCATTTCCTCTTCAGCTTACGAGTAATCTGCTTTAGACTATGTGTTTGAGAATTATACCACGGAGTCAGGTACTTCTGATTTGAGACCTTAGTTTTCACTGGAGCTACAGTATCCAGAGTCATACGTAGTGAGGAGGTGAAATTATTAACAAGATAATCGACTTCTGTTGGGGTAGCGTTCAGGTAGCTGCTCTGCTCTATGTTGGTACAGGGCATTGAAGATGATAACAGTGGGTGGATTATATTCTTAAACTTAGTTACAGCGCTTTCAGAAAGACATCTACTGTGATAATGTCTACTCTCCACCGCTGTGTAATCAATTATTGTAAATGTAAATGTTATCAGGAAAGGATCAGACAGGAGAGGGTTTTCAGGAAACACTGTTAAATGTTCAGTTTCTATGCCATATGTTAAAGGCCCCTTTCAAGTTAAGTGGTGGGTGGGTTCTTTTACATTTTGAGAGAAGCCAATTGAGTCTAATAACAGATTAAATGTCATGTTGAGGCTGTCATTTTTAGCATCTACATGGATGTTAAAATCACCCACAGTAATTATTTTATCTGAGCTGAGAACTAAAATCAGATAAAAAGTCTGAGAAATCAGACAGAAACTCTGTGTGAGGCCCAGGTGGACTATATGTGATAACAAGTAAGACTAGTTTCTGAGTTTTACAGCTGGGGTGGGCAAGGCTAAGCATTAGGCTTTCAAATGAATTAAAAGTCCGTTTTGGTCTTGCTGTGCATCCTGCAGCCTGTGTGTATATGCATGCAAATGTGTGGATGTTTCTTTGTGTATGTGCAATTGTACACTGCGTGAGAGAGATGAGAAGCAGCTGGCAAGGTTGGGCTGAGTGGTGTGGGAAACCCCTGCTGTGTACATTGTCATTACAGTGATTGGGGTCTCATTTGTTTTTTACCCCTAGAGTTGGGGCCGCAGTGCCACACTGGAAAGAGCTAAGTTTGCCTAATCCAGCCCTCCTCACCTGGCATGTTTATGGCTCTGCTGCGGGATGGAGGGGTTGGAGGGGTATAAGTCAGTGGGGCCAGTTCATCTCGCAGTCTTACAGGGAGACACACACTTTAACCACGTTGGCGTGAGTACATGCACACTTGCACATGTATGCATTTGCTCATCTGCATGCACAAACACCACAAGTGTCAAGTGCGTTCAGTGCACATGCGCTAATGTGTTCTTGCAGCACCACAAATACGCGCTATGCACAAACTGTACATTCAAACTTATTGATGTGAACTTTGAACTCCCTGTTCTTTCACTCCTAACACACACTTGCACAAGGTTTGCAAGCTCAGTATCTGCCTCATGCAGAGGTGACGGGGAGGTCAGCCTGTCTGACTTTGAGCAGAATCCCCCTGTGGCTTGCCCCAGCCATTCCCCCTGGCATGTGTAACAGGACCTGCCCAAGCAGCCTCTCCTCTTCCCCCAGCTCCTGTCCTCCTCCTACTGCTGCCTGCCCCTTGGCCCTGGTATAAATAGATGGGTCATGACTGCTGTGCTATCTGTATCGAGGGTGGTGGGGGGTGAATAGTCCACCCTGTCTATCTACAAGATTCCTCGTGTCTGCACCACTTCTGCTGCAGCAGGACATAAAAAGAAAAACAGGTATTTCTGACCACATCATTTGTGACTAGAGACTGTACACTAATGTCACCATGTTGAGTGTGTATGGGTGTACTTGCAATGTTGAACTATAGTGTAGTGTGTGAGTGATCTTTTTACCCTGAATACAATGTTTTTTATAGATATTATTGTATTTTCTTTTTTTCTTTTTTTTTACCCATCAGGATTTTTGTACATGAGGAAGACCCTCCAGTGGTGTAGTGGTTAACACATATGCTTGGGAAGTCAAAGGGCACTTGTTCAGTTCCAGCTGGAGACATACATCCCTTTAGGGCTTGTATCTAGCATCTAACTCTGACAAAGTATGCAGAGCCGCCTGCTGTGGTGACCCCTTGTGGCAAGTAAGAAGCTTTTTGTTTTATTTTATTATTCTTGAAGGTTGGCCTGGTAGTTTTTGGTTATCAAACAAATGGTTAAATGAATGCTATAGAAAACCTGTGTCCACATTGACTTTCAGTACAGATGATGTAGTAATTGTCTGATTAGATATTAGCCAATAAGTAAGCATATGATTTCGAATTTACCGCTTGAAATTTCGTGCTACTTGCAGATCTCGTCGGTTTGACTAGGTCACTGGATATGCAACATAGTTGTACTTGTGCGTCGTAAACTTTATTACATCTTTGGCCAAAAGTCAACTATTTGCCTCTATACATAAGTATAGAAACAAAAAATGCAAATTGCATGAGTTTAATGAACTTTGTAGATCCTTCTGAGTGCCAGAAATATCCCCTTGCAGTAAAAACTACATTGCTAGTGCTACTGCACTGTCACCTCTAGCTTTTATGGTGAAACATCAGAAGTCAGTCTTGACTGTGACCAAATAAAAGGCGAGAGGGTTTAAATATTGATTTTACTGTTGTAATGGTTTGTATTATCATTTATTTATTTTAGGTAAATGAAGAGCATTTAATATATGCTAACATTTCTTTCTGTAACCATCTTTTATGTCGGTGATACAATGTTGTTGAGGTTAATACTGCTGCCTCACAGCCAGAAGGTTCTGGTAATGAACCACAGTATATTCATGCTGGTATGTTCTATAAGTGCAGAATAGATGAGATACAGTAAAGCTTTGAGTGGTCAGTAAAACGACAAAACATGATGGAAATTTGTAATTTGCAGGAATGAATAATAAGAATCTGAGGTTGGATATTACATTAAAGTGGTCTTTAAAAAAAATCTACCCACTCGCTGACCTTAAACCACCAGAACCTCAAAGATCAGGTTGCAAGGTTATAGCTGAACTGATTGGCAATGTAGCACTTAGACTCAAGTGTGATTAAGTTAAAGTGAGTTTTTAAGCAGCGCCTAGCTTTGCTGTGAACACTGTGTGAAAATATGATTAGATAAATCAGCAAAATGTTTTACCTTACTTCCTTTTTCTAAGCTTATGTGCATGTGTTTCAAACTGTGACCTTCTGTATGAGATTTGGTTTCACGTGTGCATCCATATATGTGTTTTATGGGACATTGTGAGGCAAAGATGTGCAGAAAGCAGAACTTGAGCTGAGGGAAGTGTGAGGCTGAAGCAGTACTTTAGTTACAGAGGCAGCTTGTTGAGTTTGCACGACAACCAAAGAAGAGTTCCAGATTGTCCTCTATAACTGCGGTAAAAAAAAAAACAAGTGTGCAACATGAGTATGGACCTGTGGGTGTGTGTATATATGCTTGCATTTCATGTTAGTTCTCTACAGTACATGTGCGTGGGTGTAAGCGTGAATATTTTCCTGTCACTGGAAGATAGCAACTGGCTCTGACTTCACTTGAAAATGATATTTTTCATTATTTATTGGTCGGGACCCCAGGGTCATATACTATATTAGATTAAAGTATGTTCAATCAGCAGATGTAGAGGACAATGTGTCTTGACCCTACATTATGAAGTCTGGGCCCCGGGCCACAGAGAGTTTTGCAGGACTGCACAATAAAATGAGGTATATGCTTTAGCATACGGTTTTCTCTATGATTTAGGTCCTAAAATCATTGCAAGTTGAGCTCCGCAGTGGAGTTTGTTCTAAGTTCAGGCCTTCTGCAAAGCAGTGTTATTCTAGAGCATCTAAATATATGAATTTAAGTGTTGTCCATCATAAGTAAATTAAGTCCTTGTAAATTATGCGAGCTCCGTTTGTCATTACTAAATGTGTGTGCAAATGTATATGTGTGCTAACTGTAGGTTGCCATATTTCTTCTCTCAGGTTGTTTCTGTCTGCAAAGTATCTGTTTAGTCCTTTTGTGTCTGTTATACTGTACCGGTGTGTGCCTGCGCATATTTACAACCCACAGCTCTATGGTGTAAGTAAGGTGGTGTTGAATAATGCAGGGAACCTCAGACTCACCACTGAGCAGACGCAATGGGGCCTCTCAGCTCAAGACATACTGCTTTGTATTGTGCTGTGCTGTACACTTCTGTCTTCCCAGTACATTAGATTATATACAGTAATCAGCCGACTGTATGGCACGAAACACGCACAATGGTGTGGTTTTATCAAAGAACACATGAGCATGAACCGCACTGTAAATAAATATAACCCCCATATACAAACTGCAAGCAAAGCCAGACACGTCTTCACCCAAAGGTCCAAAATGCAGCGTTTGAACTGGCTGCAGTGTTTGCAATTGATCTCACATATGTCAAATCTAAAAGTCATCATGCAGGAGTATTTTTCTGTTTCCCCTTTTGTCTTTGTTGCAGAAGTAACAGATTTTCCCTCTTGGGTTTTTCCACATGGAGACTACCTGACATGCTGCTGAAACCATGATGGAGGGAGGAGGTTATAGGCCAGTGGGCCCTTCCAGCCCCTTTTCTCGATGCATGTTATATAGCAGGTGAGAAACATTAACGGAGGCAGCAGCAGCTGCAGACCTCTGCTCCACACATGTGGGCCAGGATATGAGCTAGCTTGAGCTCTCCCACTCTCAACTTTAGTGAGCAAGGTTATCGCTCAGAACCACAGGAAACAGTGCTGCCAAACTGGAAACAGCATAGCTCTGTTTAATATACGTTACTTTGAACACTGATCTTAATAGTATATAGGTTTGCCAGAACTTGATCTAAAATGATATTTGCTTATTTGTCATGTGACTGGCCACACCCACCCTAGCTTCTAAAAGCTATGTGATATTTGTGAATATAATAATGTTTTTGAGGTTAGCGTGTTTGCTATACAATGTTCATTATGAATATACCATTTAAGTTATTTACTGGTTGCATTTGAATATGGAAATGTCTTGGCTGCGCAATTTGCTTTAGACATGTGTGCCTTGTTGGGTCATTTGAATTACCCCCCTCAGCCCGGGCCATGAACCCGGAGACCCAGTTGTCACATTGTGTTTTGAGCGCACAGACTCTGGCCGCGGTGGTGAGGTGTCCCAGAGGAGAGTGGCATGTTTCTGTGAATCATAACCGCTGTTCTGTGTTCAGTGAGCCGTGTCAAAGCGGATTACCTGCATGAACGGGGACCTGAAAGGACTTTGTTTTTAAAGACTGTCCTTTGGGGTGAGGTAGTAGGTTGTATAGTTTTAGGGTCGTACCCTTCCTGTCAGATAACTATACAACTTACTGTCTTTCCTGAAGTGGCTGTAATGTCGTCAGATGCCTTTGGTGGAGTGCACGGATCCAGATCGACGCACTGCTTGCTAACGGCTCAGTAGCCCGAGTTTGATAGCAGAAAGTTATTAAGGACTGTAGCCGCTTTGTGGAAGTCGTTGATTGCCAATAAAGTACAACTGTGTTTTCATTGTAAGCGTTCATTCTTTTTGTGTAAAACACAACAACAGCAAAAATGTCCTCTTCATATCTCAGCAGACACTTTGCGCTGCATAATCGTTTCCAAAGGTTCCTCCTGTTTAGCCGCCAGTCTCTTTGTTCATTTTCTTTGCACTTGTAAAAATCTAAAAGAAATCATCACAATTTGGGGGGTTTTAGTAATTAAAACTCGACAAAAATCTCAGTGTTTGCTTTTCATGTAGGTATGGTTTTTGTCAAATTCTGTATATTCATTTACAGATTGTATATGTCATCATAACGCTTTTATCATTACCAAAGATTTTACCCAGCCTGTAGGGCCTTTACTGATGTTCGTACGGGGTGAGGTAGTAGGTTGTGTGGTTTCAGGGTAGTGATTTTGCCCAATCAGGAGATAACTATACAACCTACTGCCTTCCCTGAAGGGCAGCAATACTTCCACCATTCACACACATCAGGAGGCATTTTGTTCATATCATTAAAAAAAACTCCATATTGACAAACTAAACCACATGAATCACCTGAGTCTAAGAAATTTTATACAAAGATGTCAAATCAGACGATAGCAGCGGAAGGAACCAGCAGGTAAAGTCTGTGCAGTAAGGAAAATGTCTTTGACTCAGATTTTTTTTTATTTTTTTGCTTCAAAATTAATAATAAAAAATAAGGTGATTGATCATTGCTCCTTGGTGTTCTCTTCTTTGGTTTATTCTCTCATCGGATGTTTCAAACTTTTGAAGCTCCTTTGGTTTTCAAACTATCTTCCTGAGGTAAACTTTACATACAGTTTACATACAGTGCTGGTCTCTTATGAGAAAAGGCAGAACTTAAACGGCACTATGCAAAATCGTGGAACGCCATTGGTCTGTTCTGACCTCTTTATCTTTCGAGAAATATTGGAAACACAAGTGGCATCCTGGGATCAGCCGGGGACCTCGGTGTGTTCTAAAACTCCAGAGCACAAGATATGGAAAGAAGAACCTTGGCACTACAGGGGGCTGAAGCATATGGTAGTAGATGGTGTTCTCTTTCTGGCCAGCAGCACATATAAATACACACACACACACACACACACAGATGGATAACAAGGTGAGTGCCAGCCGCTATCCCAACGTGGACATCAGACATAGCTCACTGTCTGAGACTGCAGCCCGGTATCTCATATCAAGGTCAGGCTTGAGGTTGTCACTCACAGCGAGAGTTCTTGCACACCCTTGGATTTTTTTAGCCAGTTGTCACATAACAAGTGACAGCTTTGCGCAAGAAGCAACTATTTCTCATTTTTGACATAATCCAGTCCCTACAGGCACTAAAACTCCAGCGTGTTGCACTGCCACCTGTATATCATTTCCTATGTCAGAGTTTCACACATATCAGACGTTAGCAGCCATGCTGAGCTTCTTGTGCAGCCACCAGATGTCTCTGACACAAAGAGGGGAATGGCTTGACAGCACATCACTGGAGTAACACTGCTCAGAGCTGTAACATTGTAGCGTGGGAAGAAGTCTACCACAGCACTGCATTCTGTGTGTCTAGACCAGTGTTGGGTGTATTTGTATGTGGGCTGCACCCACTGGGTAGCTGTACCCCTGCCAGCCAACAGGCTGAATTGATTTGGTCCTCGGCCATGGTGATGGAGCAAAAGGGAGCTGAATACTAAGCCTGCTGAGACAATGACTCTGTGTGCATCCTGTCTCTTGGGTTGCATCTCTAAAGGCCATGCACCATCCTTCATCTCCTCCTGCTTTGCCACTTCACCCAAAACACTACAAAAAGCTCTGACATCCGCTTTGGGATACCCCCCACCCCCACCCATGTCAATGCAATAAGGAACTAATGAAATGCTTGCAAGGCTCAGGCTGACACATATGAGTCAGAATTCAATAATATACTGTTGCTTTTTCCAAAGTTGCCAGGAATTTGAAAAGAAGAATACTTGCAGCAGCGCTTTTATAAGAGCTTGCATGATGTCATTCCTGTATAAATGGAATGGTGTTATTGATTGAGTGTAAGTGGATAGGATTGAAAGCTCTGTGTGGGCAGGTCCTGCAAATAAACCACTGAGCAGTTTACATTTGCTGAAATGAAGCAAAGCTAAGCGTGGTTTCAAAATAGCTTCCGCCACCACATTAAATATGCGATGATAAAATGAGTTTGAAGTATAGAACCAAGGAAATGAAATTATTTTGTTTGCGTATTTATATTTTCTGCACACAGTCATTTCTAATTAATCACATTTAACACTGATCCCTCCAGTCACCAGACCTCTCTCACTCTTTAAAGACATGGCAAAGGCGCCACCTAGTGGACGCTCTACACTTATCTTTGTGCCATATTTGCTGAATATTTTATTTCTATATGAACCATTTTGGCCCCATTGAATTATTTGACCGTTTGCAAATTCATATTCTTTCATCTATTGATGAGTGAATCGAGTAATTATTGCAGTAACACCAGTTAGGCCTCCAATAAGTTGACCACAAAGGGGTGATTGTGACTGGATGACTGGATGCAGGCAGCCTGGGAAAGCGGCTGTTGAGTTCTCGTGAGTGGGCAGACAACAGTGATGCACCTACATCATAAGTACAAGAAATGAATGCTGCGGGCGTCAGTGTTCTGTCAGTGTGAATGTTTGTGCTAAGGAAAACAAAGACAGACATTGTTGTTGCTGATAGTGGAGATTACTTTTTGGGCAGTTTAGCCTGATGTGATCTTTGGCACCATAGTACAAAACTGGTTGATTAAAATAGAATCTGTTTTCTACAAAGTATTTGTTAAAGTCTGCAGTTTTTCTAGAAGATGCTTAAAAAACATGTCATGTCCTTGCAAGTTCTTCAGCTGCTGTTTCTTACCAGCAGGTGGCAGTAGAGGTCGTGTAAAACTACCATAAGGACTCGAAAAAACATCCCCAGCCTGCTGTCGAAAGTCCCATCCAGGGCCTAAGACTTAACTTGTGTAACTGTTGATATCGAGGCCAACAATTCTAGCATCAACTAGCACGTTTTCTTTCAGTCGTTTTACCTCCAACATTGGGTCACATGTCATAGAATCATACTGTCATACTGTTAACACACCAACACAATGTAGTTGTAATTACGGACTCATTTTTGATCATGTTCTTCCTGATTTCCAGTTGGGGAAGAAAACACAGTATTAAGCAGACAAATCCATGATGTTCACTGTGGAGCGCTGAGTCTTCGAAAGAGCTGTAATTCTAAGGATGGGTTCTCTTTCGTAACCACAAAGTACTTCATCACACAGTTGCTTGTTCAGAGTTTGTTTTATTACAGCTAGGTTCACTTCATGGACAGACATGTTGTAAGCAGCTGTCATTAAATTATCTAGATGTGGAAAGTCTCCCCTTAATTAGGAAACCAGCTGTGATCCAGACAGAGAGTCTTGACCGGAGCCCATTACTGTGGACTCTGTCTGCTCTACTGAGCTGTGTTGCAACGAGCCGTATCTTCTCGGTCTAATGTTTCTCAATGTCCTCCTCACACAGTGAAGTCGCCAGCAGTTGTGGAGAAGCCTGGTAAACTGGAGCTGGTATCAATGTGGATGTCCATAGGAGCAAAAAGTCATTCCCATGTAATAACTTGACTTTTTTTTCTTAAAAGCTTAAAAGTTTCTTAAAAGCTTCTCGTGATTAAAGATTAAAATATACTTACCATATTTGGCTTTTCTGAAGCCTTAACTGTTCCCAGAAGTGAGTAACCTGGGAATAACTGGACTAACAATGGACAGTGCTCTTAATAATTTGGGCTGTTAGGTAAGGTAAGCCAAGCCTGAGTCACTAAAACGGCACCACAGTTATACTGATACACAGGAGACTGAGAGTGGAGGGTATGATTTAGCTGTGGGTGCTAAAAAAAAAAAAAGAAAAAAGATATATCAAGGGTCGTGGAAGACGGCAATGGGGTGACAAGAATAAGACACAGACGCACACATAGGTAAATCAAACGTTATAGTGTTTACAGGTGTAGCAGTTCATGGGATAGGTTAGGTCAAGGCTGACACACTCGCTGTGTTAAACAAAAGATCCAACAAGATTTTGGTCAGTTATCAAAAAATGACTGATTAAAATGTTGAACATGCTCCAAGCAAACAGATAATGTAGTGAGTGAGCCTTCGGGTTATGTTGTTTTTTTAGGCATTTATTATTGAGACCAAGCATGAACATATACAGTAGCTGTTGCTACAAATTAAGAACCAGTATAATACCATATTACACAACAGAAGCCATGAGCTGTTTTTTTAATGGATATGTTTGTTTGTGTTGTTTTCTGAGCACTGAGTAGTTTTGCGTTTGATAATTGCAATATTCTTTGGTATCTTCATGCAACTTCACTGGTTATAAAGAATTGAATAGGTTTACTGAAAACCTAGATGAAAACAGATTATGCACGAGCTTGTTCACACATATACACAAACATGCAAATGTGGCCTTGTTAGAGATCTGGTGTTTCAAACATAGGGCTCAGGGGTCAGAATCAGCCTGGTGAAGACCTTTTTTGTCTTTTTTTTTTCTAATATTAACGTATTTTAGGGATTGAATGTGTAGTTAAACTCCTTTAAGCTGACAGAAAGGAGCACACTTAAGCTTAAAGTGGGCTCCTCGATATAAAATACATTAACAACCCTGTTATAGATTAAGACTGTAGAATAATTGCCTGGTTACCATCAGCTAGCAACTTACAGTCTTAAAAATGAACGGGGTTAGATTATTTTGTTGAATAATATGAACACCAGCCATCACTGAACTTATGCTGTACATGCTGAGTGTGCATGGAGGTTGTGAAAGTCCACTGTAGTCCCAAGACACATGCAGAGCAGCCAGCGCCTGGTTCCAGACCTCGAGTCCAGAGAGTGACGCCCACGTTGCAAAGACGTGTAATGGCGAGCTGGGACAGGGAATGGGGGTGAAGAAACAGTAGAGCAGAGAGATGCAACTGACAGCCAGGGTCACACACTCAGCATCTGGCATGAGCTGGGAAAACAGAGCAGCTACAGTAATGGGCAGTTTATTGCAACAGTTTAGCTGGAAATCCTGATTACTTGGCCTGAGGTCAGTGTGAAAGACTAGGATTTCTCCAGCTGCTTTTCTCGTCCTAAAATGTGCACAATTAGCACAACCTTGAAAAGCTAAATATCCCACAAAAAAGATACAATGCTGCCAAGCCATCTGGAAATGCAAAGATATTGTCCTTTTTCTCACAAATAGGGGGATCATGTAAGATTTCCACTCCTGTCATTTTCATGCGGGACTGGGAAACATTTCGTTTCTCCAAGCTGAAAGTTTCCCTGTGCTCAACTATGAGTTTAATGTATGAGCATACAAGCGTGAGTTTCTTACTTGACTATTTTTATCATGATCCAGAATGCAATTTTAATAACTGTGATGAGGAAAGTTGAAGTCCAAGCACATATACACTGCTCAAAAAAACTTAAAGAAAACAGATCTGGGCCAGGGCATCATTGAGGTCTTGGACATTCTGAGGTGCAACCTGGTGGTGTCAGATGGAGCCAAACACAATGTCCCAGATATCTTCTGTTGGATTTAGGTAAGGCGAGCGTGGAGACCAGTCAATAGTATCAATTCCTACATCCTCCAGTAACTGACACGCACACAAACGCTACCAAAAACAACACTTCTTTGGTGGCAGTAATAATCACTAATGTCAGTACCATGTAAATTCAAACCATCTTCTTCAGCTAGGCTAACAGCTAGTCCTAGCTAGGCTAAATTTAGCTTTACTTAAAGTAAATGGTAAATGGCCTGTAAATACAGGCCATTTACCATTTATTTACCATTTACTTAAAGTACATAAACACAACTGGAACAAAATTCTTTACTATTTATATCTGTCTGTAATTGGAAATAATTTAATTATTATCATATTAACTATTATTATGAACTAATGTATTGTTATACAGCCTACATAGAGTTGTTGTTTGGTACTTTTACAGACAATTAGTTATTCATCAAAAATGTTAGGTAAAGTTACAGATTTTACAGTTCTGGTCCGTATTTCTTAGAGCCCCTCACATAACTCACATGACAGAAACCAGGAAACACCTCGTTATTCTTCGTCAATAAAGACACACACAAAGACAATTCGATTAAATTACCAGTTTCCACTGAGTGAGCCCAGATGCAGGAGAGAAAAGTGGAAGACAACAACATGTTGCATACACTAAAAGTAAGTTTGACTGAAAAATATTATTCAGAAGAAGTTTAAGTCAGCAGGAGCGAGAATAACCAGGACTGACTGTACTTTCAGTTTTCAGCTTCACTCAGAAACTCGATGGCTTCAAGATCAGATGAGGATCTTCACTGTCCGGTGTGTCAGAGCATCTTCACAGATCCTGTTCTTCTGTCACGTTGCCACAGATTCTGTAGAGGCTGTCTGAAGAGCTGATGGAGAGCAGACCCAACAAACAAGTGTCCAATTTGTATGAGAAGATCTTCGAGGGAAGATCCAGCTCGTAATCTGGCTTTAAAGAACCTGTGTGAGGACAGGGCAGTGAGGACAGGGCCCAGTAGAGGACGTCGGGCCCTTGGGCCACTCTCATCAAGTCAGTTTTTGATTTTTTGGTCAGAGACATTCATGCACACAAAATTTTAGTGGCCTCCACCTGTAAAACCATTCCTGATTTGTGTATTGTCTCATTGTTCACCCTGTAGGGCATCTATTGTTAACTTCATGAACACCAAAGGAGCAGAAACTGATCAACAACCCCCTCAACTGACCAGATCAACACCCCATCGGTTCAACTAACTTCTTTCTTTTTTTTTTCTTCTTTTTTTTTGAGAACTGTCAAATAAATAAACTTTTTTTTTCTCGCTCTCTCTCTCTTTCTTGTCGTCAGGATTTTTTTCAGGTTTTTTTCTGGTCTGTAATACTAATTTTCTACCGCACGAGGATAAAGTTCATCCATACCTTTTTAAAAAATTGAGCCTCCTCACTGTCATGTAAGGTGACCACATGTCCTTCTTTATGTGGGACTGCACAGCATTTGTAATCATTCCCCCACTTTCCCACATCTTGACACAATATCCCTATATTCTAAGTACTGTGCACCCACAGTAAACAAGCTGTCCTAACTTGACCATCTTAGGTACGTAGTAGTTTGTCATTCTATGGCAATGAGTTTGCATACATTTGTTTACTGGCAACATATTAGATTTTAAGGTGAAGGAGAGTAAGGTACTGTTCATTTTATTATTTGTAAGTAAAAGACATGACACCCCCGCTACTGTAGGTATTTGTTTGTCAGTTTGAGAATCAGATTAAAATCGACTCAGATGAAGTTTATTGTGATTAAGTGCTTACATTGGGCAAATCTAGGTCACATAGCTCTGAGCAGCCTTGGCTGAATGCTCATATTTTACCATTTACTGAATTTCAACCAACATGAAACTGATATTTTTTAGGATAAATTTAGAAGTCATGTTGCATTTTTGTTTCATGGTTGTGATTGGGCTTTTCTCTATGATCTTGCATCTGTGTTTTTTATGCATCACTACAATTTTCATATTGACCATTATCACTCGCTTTTTACTGAGTGCTTTGCAGCGAGGTGTACGATTCAAGGGGGCATCGCAGCTTCGCCGAACCGAATTAAACACTGAACTGAAGGCCAAGGTGGAAGGAACCTTGGATGACCACATGGGCGGTGGGGCAGGGGGGGTGAGGACAGTACCGGGAAGGGGGGGGAGCAAATTTTGTCATTCCATGTTCATTCAGTTCAACCAAGGGTGTAGATTTGGTTTTGGAATTGGTGGGGACGGATGATTCAACCACCAAACTCTGCCCTGTTTCTTATTTTTTTCCTTTTTGTCTTTGCTTCTTGATTAAAAGAAAGGAGAAATATACTTGCCTACATATGCTATTCTACGTGCTTTTTTAAAATTACAATTCATAGTTTTACATGTGAATTATATAATGTTAAATTACTATTAAACAAATGACTGACTAAGTATTTTAGACTTTAGTTTACTTCAGCCATATTCCATATAAAAAGTGAGATATGTCAATTCAGATTCTTTGTCATATATTCACTAATGAATCAATTTACATCAGCAGCCTAACAATTGTCATGATAATAAATACTAGTTAATTTATAGTACCAAATCATCAGTCAGTCACCTGTGACCTCGCCTCTTCACCTCTGTCCGAGCTACAACATGGCAGAGCTGCCTCTGTCACCTGATGAATAACAGTGAGTCATTCCAAATACATGCAGTCACACATGTGCTTCAAATACAGTCATGAACCACCAGGTCATCATCCAATTTCACCTGTGATCTTGTATCACCATTACTCTCTGAGCTTTGTGTTGGTTCTTCTGTCACCTGACAAATAGGACATACATGACAATAAAATGTGTAGCTGCTTCAGTGTTTCTGTCAATTTGTGCAGATCTTGACTCATCAGTAATGTTTGTAGGGTGAGTGCATTTTTAAAACAATTTGTGCAAACTGCACTACAAGGTGGAATATTTGCAAAATCATGACTATTCATGACTATGACCTATGAATATGTCAGTGCCATTAGGATGACATTTCTGTGTCACCACCATTCAACATTAGACATATAATTCTAACAGCCTCTGTAAACTAATATCCTGGCTGCTCGAGGCTGCCGTTTTCTCTGACAGTTTCAATCAAAATTAGAAATGCTGCTCTGAGACTGCGAGCTAATAGTGCTGCCTGTTGTGCAGTTAGTTTCCAAAACACGTTATTCGTGGTTACATACAATTTTAGACTGATGTGGGCCAAAGCCTAGCATAGCCTGTGACGTTATTATGACGGACACATTTTATGAGTGAACTTGATTTTAAGTGACTTACAGGTTTCTTTGAAAAATACTTTCTTATATCCAGGTTCTTCCTTTTTGCTGCAATCCTCCTCTCCTCCTTGAAGGTCCTCGCAGCGCAGGCTTGCCGCTGCTAAAATTAAACAGGCACAGCCAATCACATTGGCCATATTTGTCACATGACGTAGGACTCCAGTGGAGAACGTAATTTCTGCACCGCTGGGTGAATGAGACGTTGACAGATCGTTTTTTTCTTACTATCGGGTTTGTTTTTCTTTACTCGAAGAGGTCAAATTATTGGTGGGGACAATTCAATAATCGCTGGATATTGGTGGGGACATGTCCCTTCTGTCCATGCCAAATCTACGCCCTTGAGTTCAACACAACTGTATTATCATTGTTATCGTTATTATTGTGTTATTTGGTTTGATTTATTTGTTTTTACCACTGTTTATCTGTAAATTCCTCCCTTTGCAACGTGTCGCTGTTTGCAGTTGCTACAATTTTTCTTGACAGAACTTTCCAGAAATGTAATTATAATTTAATATTATTTAATAAAAATAAAAAATAAAAAACTCAAAGACTAACAGTGTATATTCAATAATCCCCATTTAAAATAGCCAGGTTAACTTTAAAAATGTATATATTTTTATATTTATTTATTATTTATTCTTATTAATTAATTAATTTGTGTGTGTGTGTGTACTTTTTTATAATCCTTTGCTGCTTAGGTTATTTGATAACATTCGCCAACAACGCATTTTTGTGCACTTGAACACAATAAAGGAATCCAGTGAAGGAGAAGAAGTTTCTCTGTGAGCTGCAGTGCGCAGGGTCACTTAAGGAGAGGCTTTTCCGGTCGGTCTCGCTCTCCCTCTGTCCAGGCTCAGGGGGCGTCCTTCTCAGGGGAAACTGTTGCGCTGTTTCCATTCGCTGAAACCATAGGTGTGTCGGGGTGTGCGCTTTCTCTCTGCCAGCTGTCAGTCATGAGGTCACTTCCTGCGGGCGTGAGCACCATGGCTCTGCTTTGTATGGACGTGCTGGGGGATTTTTGACAGCGGCAGGACTGCGAGGGGAGCCAGCGAGGACGCGGTCGGTGTCTGGGGGACGTTTTCGCTCCTTCATTGCTCCTTTTCTCGCTGTTGCATTGAACGCTTCCCAGCCCACCGAGATATTTCCGAAGATATGGCGCCGACGTTTTGCGCTATCTGCTGTCAGGTATATACATATATATGTATGTCTTCATGTGGCCTTTTATTTATAAGTCCTCTTTGCAGCAGCTGACATTGACTGTGAGGGAATGCTGTGTAGCGCAAACTGCAGACTAGTGCGTGTCTCCCACTTTGACACTCTGCCCAACTGTTATATGCACATTATTAGTTTGCAGTCACAGGGAGGTGGGGGGGTTACTAATTTCCTCCAGGATTATTGTTATTGTATGGAGGGGAGGAGGGGGAGGTAAGCTGTGGGTTTTTTTTAGCCTGCACGCCTGCGCAGGGAGAACAGCTCTTGCTCATCAATAGGCATCATCTCCCTGTGATGTAAGCTATTCATTTAGTTCAACACAACGGCCTGTTTATTGTCCTGTTTGCACGGCCCATTTCTAAGATAGCGGTTCAAGAAGCAGAGATTGCTCCGGCTGTCAGAGCAGTCCTTTATAAAGGCCTCTGGTCAGGTCTGGTCATCACTGCATCAGTGATGGGAAGAGTAATGCCAAAGGGTTAATGCTGTGTTCAATACTCAGCACAATGAAAGGTAAACATCTGCATATAATGTAAATATTGTTTTCATAGACTCAATCAAGAGGTTTTGTTTCAGAGGTGGGATCACTGCTTGTGCAGTCAGGATCGTGTGCCATTTTATTACATACACAAAATAACTGTGACGGTCAGGTGTGACAAGGATCATGGTTGGATGAGTAACAGTGATCTTACGGAGGCCTCACTTGCAGACTTGATGTGCAGCCAAGAAATATTAGGGTTTTTTTTTTATTGCCCACTAGCGGCGTTTAGTACCTTTATAGCACAACGGTGGAGGGAATAAATGAGTGAAGCAGTGGTTAGTGTGTGGCTGCAGGTGCTGTGTAACTCCTAAAGTAAAACTGAGTTAGAATTTTTCTGCCTTTCTCCTTCTCATTTATGTGTCTGAACATGGACAATGTATTAAAAATCAGAAGTTTGTCGCTGTTCTGCAAATTATTTGTTAGATGATCTGTTTTTTAGTGAAGGAAATGGACCAACTGGCACTTTTCATTTCTGAAAAACACTATTTTATGTTGATTGAAATCCCAGCAGTTGTTAGATTGAAAAACGGACAGGCATCCACCCACTCGTGGTTGAGTGGCATGTGTCAGTTCTACACATGAGCCACTTTTGACCAGCGGATACCGCCGCTGCCCGCCCATGATAAAATCGGCCTGTTAGCATGTGATTTATTGTTAGTGGCATAAATTCTGTAGCGTAAAAAAACTCATAAATTTCATATCACTGTTGTTAACATGGCTACGGTTAGTCAAGCCATCACAGTCCAATAGAAATACCAACAGATACACAGTTTAGGAGGAAGGGATGCTCACTGTAGAATCAGCATATATTACTGCCATCCCACTTTTACTCCCGCTGTGGCATACCAGGTTTAGGACACTTTTAAAGCACCCCCATTCTTGTGGTGCACTAAGGATAAATGTCCTTGTCTGAGATTAATAATAATGTATGTTGTTGTTGTGTTGTCACTAATTACAGTTTTCTCTTTTGTAACCGTGGCAACAGTCCACTCTTCTATGCATTTTGGGGCCGCCTGAGACACCACACTGAATCGTGACTGATGCGCGATGCTTTAAGATTTGTTTATGATAGAAATACACATGGTTTAAAGAGAGAATCCAACCTCCGAATCTTTTGTAAGGGCTAGGAAAAAAAATCACATCTGAAATTTTGGATCTTTGCTGAGGATGAACCGAAGACAGATCCTCTGTTCTGAAATCCACTTGTAACTGCACTGTGAGACGTGAAGTTCTTTGCACACCAGACTTGTAGCTGTGTGCTAAATCTATGCATTGATGAGCCATTTACCTCAGGGACAAAGGTCGTATCATTCTGGTGTGTATCGCTAAAATTCCATTTGTATCTCGGGCACTGCCTATGGGCGGGAGCTAATTGATTGACTAAAAGTGTTTCAAAAGATCATATCAAATACTGCTAGCCAAACCTTGATCAAATAATAAAAGCAAATCCCTTTGCTAAAAGTACAAAATATAAGTGAGTGAGTACCGTGTATCAGGGATGTATTATGTGTTTTTCCCCTTTAATTTTGCGTCCACTTGACAAACACTAACATGTAATTTTTTGTGGCTTTGATCTGGTATGGTGCTAGTGATCTATTTTCACTGCTGTAACAATAATGGACCAAATATAGAAGGCATAACCTCAGTTTTTATGGTGATAAAAAAGACATTAAACAGCATAAAAGTTTATGAAGTCTCCTGCTCAGACTTCTTTATGTCAGTCTTGGAGAACTTGTGCGTCAGTTGTTTTTTCCATCGTTACTTTTTGTCTGGCTGAGCTGTTGCACCCTGTTTGTCTCAGGCAACCTGAGACCTGCAATCTGCTTCTGCCTGGCTGCATTCACAGCTTGTAGAGACAGAGAAAACAACAGAGGGAGATTCAACGTTTTCTCCTCAAACAGGACTTTCAGGTTCAGAAGTTTATCATTTGTATCTCTTTGTGGACATAAAAGAGACATGTCGAAACGCCACATAGCTCCTTTGGCCTGTTTTTCACGTTCCTGCACCATCAAAAATAAATACAAAAGTAAATATAGTGTGGATTTATGAAGTGCAGGGAATCACTGCACTTTGGCTGGTTCTAATCACTTATATGGTCTGTTTGTTTGGCATCTTTCGTCCTCTCGTAGTCAGGGTTGACCTTCCTCTGAGCCAGGTCTGTTCCCCTTGAGCCTTCTTTATTGTAAAGCCTTTCTGGGTTGAATAGGATTGGGGCCCTCCTGCCAGATTTACAGTAAGGAGCTCTGGACAGGAGATCGTCCTTGCTAATAGTCAAGAAAAGATGCCGTATGTAAGCTGAATTTGTGTGTTGACAGGACAAGAGGATTTGACTGATTCCCTGAACAATATCTTTGTTTGTTTCCAGTCTTCCTATGTTAGTGTCACATTTGCACACGTCTGTATTCTTATAGACAGACAGATTGCTGGAAGGTGTTCTCTTTCTTGCCAACTATCTTGTCTCATTTTGAGAAGTTCCACTCCCACTGCAACTGCCTCAGTAGGAGGCACAAGATATGCAGAAATCCTTATCAATCATCTGTCACTGACCATATCTACTCTCCCATTGGAATTGCGTTGCTAACAACAAAATGTTTTTTTACTTTTTTGGTTGAACTACTTTTGCTTGTTTTGGTATGACAGAGGTGTTTGACACATTTATGGGACCTCGCAGAGCTTTTTAACATGACAGATGACCAAAGGTAAATGCAGTGCAGAGTGGTTTTAGATGAAGGTTGCTGCTTGCTACTACTGCTACCAAAGAAACAACTTATCCACAAATATGTCAGCTGTGTAGCAGATCAAAATGAACTCTTTGTCCTCGCGCTGCGCACATCTTCTTTAGGATTTGCTAATTACAGCTCCTGCTTAAGGGTTGCCCATAAGAAAAGCTGAAAGAGCTTTATGTTTTTTGTTGGACTACAGTAGCAAATCAGTGTTAATCTGTCACTAGGACTGTGTTCTGCATGCCTCCCCACAAAACACGCAGGCTGGTTTGGCAGCCAGAAAGGGGAACTCAGGACTCCAGTGTCAAGCTGGAAAATGAAATGAGATACACAGCTGCCTGAGAAATACTCCCAGCTTCACCTTAGATTTGACGTGTACTCAAGTACTCATCACTGTATTGTTTTTTTAAGCAACCACTTTACTACCTTTATGTACTCCAATAGACATTTTTTTTGCCTGTGGAATTTTACAACTGTGGTAGCAGTATGTTTGTCTCAGGTTTATGTAATCCACAGGCTTAAGAGTTTCCATGCACAAAGATACCACTTCCACTTAGCTACAGGTGGTGTTATAGGTGCAGCAATGCACCAGCAAAGAAAGATGGCTGCCTGCTCGTAAATTTGACCTAAATAATGCAGGAATTCAGCTTTGCAAGAACCTTGAAGGACGTGCATTCACTGGGTTTGTTAAGACTTGGTGGAAAAACTGTAATAATCAACTTTTCTTTGTTTACCAGAAAACTCTTTGATTAAAGTCGACTAAAGCTGTTATGTTGACAAATGGTACCATTCAATCTCTAGACAAACTGCAACTAACTCTAAGAGGCTTTGAATTTCAAATGTTCTACTGTACTGCTAATGGATGTAACCTATTGATCTGCCACCCTACAGATCAGGTCCTCTTTTATAGGCCAGGCAACGGATTATTCATTCAGGGATTCCTACTGATTCATGAAACATGCCATTGTCAGCCTAGAAGGAACCAGTCACACCACCAAAGAAACGTATAGTGATAGTACAAAGGTGAATAATTTTTATATTTATTAGCAGGTGAGAGCTGACCCAAAGCAGGCCACCAAAATATCATCAGCTGGATTCTGTTATTGTAGTAGGTTGGGGTCAGGGATCCTGGTTTATACTTTAATTTGTCATCCATCTCTACAATGAAAAACAAGCCTTCGGGTTGAACTTTAGTGACATACAGTTTAAAATTAGCATAAAAAAATTCTTGACCCCACCCCCCTTAAAAAAAACCCAGATTTATTCGATTGAGTTAAGCTTCATGTTTTTCTCCTGATTTCCCTCGATTACGCTGTTGGGGCGATCAGGGGAAAGCTATGACAGTAGACTATGCAGTCACTGTCATACACAAAAGTTTTACTGTTATTAGCTGGAGGTTTTTCAGACTCCTACATTCAAAGCAGAGCTCAGTCACTGTTATATTTTATGTGCAGTCTGTCAAATAATCTTAAGCACAGGTTTAAAGTTTAAAAATGTTTAAATGCAGGTTTTTTTGTCTGTAGAAATACTTTGTGTGACAGTGTTGCTGAAGTGCACACACATAGACACGTGCACTAATGGGAACCCTAAAACCACAGAACGCTCGGTGACGGGGGAGGGCTGTGCTTGCTGATGGTCTGTTATTAGTGGAGATCCCACTTTTGGTCATTTTTATTGCTGTTTAATTGAAAAAAAATCGCAGCTAAAAAGTT